TTTCATTGTTCTTGCTGTCCATACCTTTCAAAGTCAGAATGCTATTGCTTGCTCTTTAATGCAACTGATGACCTGTGATTGTCTTGCATTGGTGGAGTTTGGGTGCTGTTTGTTCAATTTTTCAGGCACTTATTTCCTTCTCAGTATTGCGCCCCATTCCCTTTCCACTAATGCAAGAGTTATTTCTTAGCTGGGATGCAAGGAAACAAGCACAGTTTAGTAACATGGGGCTCCCCTTCAACATAAAAGTTCAATTTCTGAGATAATTTTGCTGAATCAATTCAAGGGCTAATCAGCACCATACCTTCTTAGGTTATTCTCCCTTGAAAATAGTTGAAATGAAATATATCGCTAGGAGCAGTATCACCAAGCCTTTGTTCTCCCAATTCTTCATTGTGAAGAAGCCCCTCCCCCACCTTTGCTGAAAATCAATTACTTCTGAGATATCTGCAGACACCCTCATGTCCAAAGATACGTCTAGCATTTGACCAAAAATCAAATGCCTGTTGCGGTTGGTGCTGGAGTCAGCACCTGGATTCTGAGATCATTGAATTTCTGTGTGCTGTTTCACAAACTATATTTAGAATTCGGTCTGAAAATAAACAGCAGCCAACGTAAATGCTCTTTGACATAAATTATAGTCTTGGAGAGTAAGTAAGCCAGCAGATTCAGTAACGTTTTGGAAATAGTGATAAGCAGGCTTCTCTAATCTCCCTCAAACACTGCACTCTAAAGAATTGCAGATGCTGGCAATCTGAAACACCAACAGAAATTGCTGGTGAAACTCAGCAGGTCAGGCAGCATCTGCGGGGAGAAAGCAGAGTCAATATTTCAAGTCCTGCGACTTTATCAGAATGCACATTCCACTAAAACTCTAGTTTGTTTAGCTGACCAGCTACTCTCGAGTTCAGCTTCTCAAGTCTTTTTTTATGTCAGTGTGTGGAACTATGGATGTTGAGCTTTACAACTTCTGAGTGATAGCAGTGCTCAGCTCCAGATAGAATCAAGAGAGGTTCTCTGTCTGCTTCACAACAGTTGTGTAATTTTCTTCTTCCATTGGCACCTCCGTAGGGAGCCACTTTGAAACTCAGAAATTAGGAGCAGAAGTAGACCATTTGGCCCCTCAAATCTGCCCCGCCATTCAGTATGATCATGGCTGATCATTGATACTGATGCCATCCCTTGATGCTATTGATAGCTTTCTTGAAAATACTCAGTGATCTGGCCTCCACAGGTTGACCACCCTCTGAGTGAAGACATGTTTCATAATCTCTGTCCTAAATGGCTTGCCCCATATCCTGAGACATCATCTCCCAGAGTGGAACTTGTCTAGCCCTGTTGGAATTGTACTGCAGCAGTTTGTGAACATTTGTGGAAGCACTGAGGTATATGGGGCATACAGCTTTCAAAATATTCTCTCCTTCAGTCCAAAGATGTGCAGTTAAGTGGATTGGCCATGCTAAATTGCCCATAGCGTTCAGGGATGTGTAGATTAGATAGGTTATAGGGGTATGGATCTGGGTGGGATGCTCCAAGGGTCACGTGGACATGTTGGGCCGAAGGGTCTGTTTCCACACTGTAGGGATTCTATGATTTCATTGATTCACTCCTTAAATATTAACAGTGACCTGTTCATCATTATTATGATACAGATATAAGCTGCAATGGAGAAATTCCTATGAGTTAACCTGATAAAATTTTACATATTTAGTTGTGAAGGGTTCAACAACAATAGCTGTGGAGGAAATATTTCCTGCGATTGAGTCCAAAACCATAGGTCATAAATACAAGTCACTAATAAGTCCTATAGGGAATTTAAAAGAAACTTTACCAATAAAGTGTTTAGAATGAGGAAGTTATTTCCGTATAACAGTTTGATAAGTCAATTAGGAGTCCAGTTATTGTGCACAACTAATGGGGTAGCAAATACTAAAACTGGATTTTACTATAATCTTTTGGAGAAGTCGTAGTTATCTAATTGAAACTGTCCGTCTCTTAGTTGTATCTGATTCCTTATTTATGTGGATCTTTTACTAATTAGAATCATAGAATTCCAACAGTCTAGAAAAAGGCCATTTCACCCATCAAGTCTGCACCAACCCTCCAAACAGCATCACAACCAGATCCTTACACTATCCCCATAATCCTGCAGTTACCAAGGCTAACCTAACCTGCACATTCCTGGACAGCGCAAAGTTCAGCATGGCCAGTCCACCTAACCTGCACATCTTTGAACTGTGGGAGGAAACCAGAGTACCCAGCAGAAACCAATGCAAACACTGGGAGGATGTCTGTGTAGAGTTTACACAATCACCCAAGACTGGGATCCAACCTGGGTTCCTAGCACTATGAGGCAGCAATGCTAACCACTGAGCTACAGCTGATGCTTTTTGGCACTCTTCCGACTTAAACTGCAGTAAGACCATTACACTACCACATAAAATGGCCAAGATGAATATCATAAATGTTGAGGAGGTGACATAACTGTATGAGGGAGGAAGGACTTTAACTTGTTCTGAGAGTTTAAAAAAGGGTGGGAAAAAGCTTGTGTGGAGTGTAAACTCTGGTGTGAACCACCTGGGCCGAATGGTCTGTTTCTATGCTGTAAATACAATTATGTAACATGCCTTATAAGCGTGAGTACACACTTGTCTGGATTATAGGAACATTGCTTCAAGTGTTGAGTAAAAGGTACTGAGCTGTTCGCTTTTCAGCAGCCAGATGTTCACAAAGTGACTTTGCAGTTTCAAGTATATCTGTACCAGGAAAATTGATTCCTCAGAGCTATGTGTGATCTGTCATTACAGCCCTGAAGCAAACAGTTCAAGGGCTAGGATTCATTCTCAATTATGAGCAGTGTCAGCTACAGTTCAAGCAGGGAGCTAATATTCTTAGCATATGGTTTCAGATAACCTAGCAGGAAGATTCCTGAATCCCACTAAAAGATTATTTAAGAGTCTCTATAGTTCCCACTGGCTATGCTTTTAAGTGCTCCTTGAACTGAATCTGCTCAGTCAATGGGGTTCCCATAGAGGTGGTGTCCTTGGGGATCAAGGAACCGGGGGAATTAACACATTTAAAGAGAGATTTGCTTGGATGTTAATTAGCAATTGGATGTAAAATGATTAAACTTACCCTTTTTATTTCAGTTATCTGGCAGCATTAATTGCTACAAGAATAATTCAGATGAAAAGGGAAGTCTTTATGCATATAATCAAAATAATTATTAAGGTTCCATCCACAGATTGATTTGGGCAGGGTGTCCAACATGACAGCTGCAGACTGGGAAGATCATGGGCTTTAGTTTTAATTGATGTTGAGTTGGCCAGTTTCAACCTGATTGGCATCTCCTAAAAACCATGGTTGTCACAAAAACCCAGATATCAGGGATGAAAGAAGAATCTGGTAAGGTTACATCTTTGGGGACTGAGAATCAGCAGATCCACTGGAAGCACATATATGTGGACTTTATTTCAGAATAGGTTCTGGCTTAGTTGTAATTAAATCCACTTCAATAAGTACACTATGACTCTGACTTAAAAGCAGCCAATGCTGTTGTATGTAACCAGCAAAGAATCACTAGCCCCAGGAAGGCGGGGAGAATTCCAGTAGGAAAAACAAACTAGTTGATTAAAGCATTCCACTTGTTGAGGACTTAAATGTTGATTCGTTTGTCTATTTCTGTTTGTCATTGATTTTCCATATTCAAAACCTTGCCTTTGTTTGCACCCCTAGTAAAGTGATGCTTGCAAGTTTACAATGGAAATTGCTTATTTTAGTCATTGTGGAGCTGCTGCAGTTTAACCATTGACTATAACTGACAATTTCAAATGGACACATTTACATAGGCAATTACCATTTCATATGTGGGTGTAGTTTATAATATAATTAAAATAATGGCCATGCAACGTTAAAATTAGAACTACATTACATTAACATGTCTTGGTCTTATTCTTACCTGCTTTCCAACATATTCAACAGAATATTTTAATCTTTGCTCAAATCTATTGTTGATGTTTCCCACCATCCAATTTTAATGGCATGTAAATTCAAAGTGATCCAGGTGGAAACTGAATGGATGAGTTGGATCTTTTCCAGATGACATCTGGTGTTATGTCCATAATTCTGAGTCCAGGAATAGAAGGTGGTGGATTAGGAACATTTTGTCCGCATTATCTCCCTTGGTTAATCAGCATTATATATCTTTGATTAGTGTAGTGCGCTCATTGTAACCTGTTCAAAGACCACAGATTCTGCTGCAGCCTCCAAGAGTACAGTAGATAGGAACTCTTTTCCTCCCAGGAGTGGAGATTAAATTCAGAACAAACTAAAGAGATATTGTAAGCGCTGATCTTCCAATGAATTAAATTGACCATTTTTCTCTCGACTTATAAAGTCCCAGAGAGTTAGAAATCCCATTCTCAGTGGTCCCTTAGTTCAACACTAAAAGTCAATATGACTTGTTGAATGTGATTCCAAAGATAATTTGCCATTTTCAAGTATCATTATTTCATGTCTTCTAGAATCACCATTTTCTTCAAATCCTGGCATGGCTGTAAATTAGCGGTTAAAATTTGTTCTGAAGATATTCAATATCTGTAAAGGCTGCGTTTACTGCCCATTTGTAGAAATGATGAAACAAATCATGTTATGGTGCAAGAATTTCTCCTGGTAGTGCTCTAGGCCCAGTCATCTTCACTGTATCTTAAAACCAGAAGTAGGATGTTCATTGGTAATTGTAAGACCATTCACAGCTCCTCAGAAACAAAAGCAATTTATGCCTTCATAAGCCTGTAAGTAAGCCTGGATAACTAGCAAGGAAAACCTGCACAATGCATGTGCCATGTTGATGACCACTTCTAAATCCCCCACCATCAATATCTGACCACAACTTTAACAGATTGATGCTGATGTTTTTCTGCGATGAAGGCAGAGATGCAGAAAAAGATAGGACGGGTTTTTAAAAAGAAAATCCATTTACATTCTTCTCTTCTTTGCAGGCACACAGCAACCAGTGAACCTTGTGGCTCAAAGCTTCTCAGCCGTATCCATTAACTCACCAACCAGCATGGTGCCTCCACGACTTCCAGGAACATCTCCTTTGGCTGGCAATGTGCCAGTTGGCATGGGAATGCCAAACATGATGGGGACTAGTGCCGTAGGGATGAATCCTATGGGTATGCCTCAGAATAGTGTGATGAACCAAGGAATGATGGGAATGGGAATGGGAATGGCTCCAACTGGCATGGCCATGACCAGTTCCATGGGGATGGGTGTTCCTGCCATGGGTCTCAATGCTAGCATGACACCTGCAATGGTGCAATCCAAGCAAGATGCCTTTGCCAATTTTGCCAACTTTAGTAAATGAGAAGGCTGGAAAGACTCTAATTTAGATGAAGGTGTGAAGGCTGCACAAAATAGTACTTGAAACACATGAAGATAGGTTGTCTTAAATTTTTATAGCTATGGCATATTTTGTATTGAGGAGAAATCTGGTAATTGGCAAGATCTGTGCTATTGAATGTGTATGTCTGTTTCCTAACAGAGGTTCTTCAAGTAAAATCCTTTTCATTGGCATCTTGTTTGTGAGATACACCTGAAAGCCTTTTTAAATGTTGATAAATTTTAACTCTTAGTGAAATCACAGGACTGTGAGGATTACATGGGTTGGGAAAAACACTTCATATCAAAAATAATTTTTATACCTATCGTAATGGCCTTTAAGTCAGAATCCCAAGAAAATAATTAAAATCCAGAATATAGTCATTAAAAATTTTGTTGGTTCTTTACCTGGACACAATCAGTCTCTCCAGCAATGTGATAATCAGCTTGTGTATATAATCCTTTATGTAACAAATGAATGCAAAATTATTAAAAGAACTTCAAGGTACCAAAAATCCCGATTACTGGAATGTAAATAGTTTGACATATTCCAGTTTCAATAGAGGAAATAAATCCTATCATGAAAATGTCTTTATTAATAATAAATCGTAGTAATTGTAGCTTTTATTCTTTTCCCTCAATTTCCTCCTCTTTTAACAGCTTTAGTCTGCTGAAATGCAAATATCAGCTACATTTTCCCTTGTCAGCGGTGGGGCTTTGTGATTTGAAGGCAAGGAAAGGGCATCTCATCAATGAGTGGACAGGTCAGGTCACCAGTTACCTTAATCTGAATTTTTTTACACACGCACACGCACACACACACACCCATACTTGTCTCTTCTCTCCTCCACCAAGCTGAGCATACCCTGTGAGTGTGCAATATCCAAGACATTCCTCTGTTCTTTTCAGAAATAAGTATTCATGCTAAACTTACTCTGATTTTGAAGGTGGTGTAGGTGAAAAGATTTCTGTTTCTTCCAAAAATACGTATGCTGTCATTTTTGTTTCTCAAGCTGTCTGATTTTTTAACATTTTTTGCATTGGTGACTGGTGAATCATGACTGTGTTCTGTAATGTTAAAGCCATGCTATCTGCTTGATGGATGGAAGCTTCACTAAGAGACACTCACAGTCAAGCCCTGTTTCTACAGTGATTCTTCTTCCCAACAAGTCAGAGGGGGAAAAGTGTGTTTCAATTGTACTCATGACCTGTTCTGTATTACAGCAAACTATTCATTAAAATCTGTTACTTAAAACCACCTTTTGTGCCCTTTATCTGACTTTGTAAAATTTACTTCCACAATGATTTTTAACTAATGAATAATTCACATTGTCTTAATGACTTTGCATTTGTCCCTTTTCCAACAAAAGGCTTTCACCACTCTAAATTTAAAGAGGTAAGATGCCTTGACCTAGTCTAAACCTTGCCAGTTTTCCCATTTACAACATTTATAATTAGGCATAAATGATTGTACTTCAAGTAAAGTGTAATGAAAAGTGATTTGTTTCCTAAATAAGAAATGAGAGTGTGTAATTAGCAGACTGCACTTTTTAAATCATTCAACAATTCACTGTTTGAATTGGAATCGAAGAATAAAAGCTTTCATGTTCAGTTACATCAAAATAATCAATGTGCGCTTCAGTAGTTTCAAAACTTTTTTGTGTAGTCTCCTAAATGATTTCCTTGTACAAGGAGATAACATTTCATTGTTAAGGTACAACCTGAGGGTTGGAAAAGCACTAATGCAAAGTTCATAATTTGATGCATAGCGAATTTCAAAGAAGAATGAGTTTCTTTCACTGCTATCTTTGCACTCACAGGTTTAATATAAATATTTCTCCAGTGATTTTCATGGAATGTGCTGCTACGAGGAAAAACTAAGAGCCTCCTATCCCATGCCTTCCAAAGAACTGGAATTTGTGAGTGTGAGAATTATTTGTACTGTGCCTAATTGAAATGAGAAAAGGAACATGCATGCTGTTGGTTGAAGCTTCTCTTACAATCACAGGGCTCGGCTTGTATTTAAACTATTTTCAGGTCTGTGATAGATGAGGAGTGAATGGCAATTTGATGCATTTGAAAACAAAACCCCCAAAGTATTCGATAAATCGGATCTTGGGCTCTGAAAACCAAACTGCTACAGTGTGATTTTCATTTCCTTCAGGATACACATACTAAACCAATAAGTAGTGGTCAAATTACCTCACAAATCTCTTGCACCCCAAATATGAGGACATTCTTTCTTCACTTTTGGTTTAGCTGTTGACTTGCATTTCTACCTCAGATTTAAATCAGATGGTTAATCTTTCCCATATCAACTTCTAAAATGCAATTTAACAAAAATCTCTGCCTGATACCATAAACAGGCTTGTTATAACTGATGACACTTCCCTCTTTTTAGGATAAATGCACATGATTCCATTCATGTAAACAGAAGCCGAACATAAATTTACATACAAAGTGACTGAAAAACATTAGTACTCTCGACTGCAGTTTAGATTTTATCGTGTCCTTTCCATCTAAGGGCCAGACACTTTTGTGCTCACCAACTCAACATCCTTGAAGTCCAGTTATGTTCAAGATTGGATTATTATTGTGATGAGGCACCTCTTGTAGATATTTTGAAATCAGCTAAGACATGAAATAGACCTGACGCTGGTAGGACCAGTACCATCATCAGAAGAGCTTTATCGGTATCTGTTGTCAATAAAGGTAATAATTTGACTCCCTTCCCCTCACAATGTATGTTTATTTTATTAGAATTGCTACTCAAAGGAACCTTGGCCTTTCACTTTTATTTCTGTTAAATTACACACAGTGCTGATCTTTACTCAACAGAATCCTTTTAATAAGATCAAGGATAACATTCAGAAAATATTGTATTCCTAAACGAAAGGGCATTAAAGTTGAGAAGAGAAACTTGCAGGATGAGTTTGTTTGGGGAATGGACATCATGGAACCGGGAGAGGAAGGAGAAAATAAAGGCCCTCCCCTTAGCATTGCTATAAGCAGGAACCTTTTGGGTTGTGTAATCACAAAACTGTGTTGTTATCGCCAGATAATTTTGCACAATATTTTATTCACCCAAAGCACTAATCCATCATGACTCTAGGATTGATGTTACTGCATCAATGCACCAGCAAACTGCTACTTTAGATACTGGGTTAAGAAATCCAATTTCACAAAGCAGTGTACGATTCTGAAAGAATAAGTTTTTTAAAATATTGAATCTGGCATAATATCCAAGGCTAGACTGAACTGTACAGTGTTCAAAGTACAGGTCTGATGAGTATTCTCACTCAAGGTGTAAAGCTGCCTCCCTTTTAACTTGGGTTTACATTTCATCAGCCCTCAGCCTGTTCTTATTGCCCAGTAACTAAATTTGAAGACTGAAGTACATTTTGATTTTCTATCTGCCTCATTGCTGAAACGAGTCCTTCATGTTCTTCTATGAAATGCAAATGGCACATCAAGATCCTTTTTGTTTTGGAATTTTTTTTTAGCCTGGAGAAACATTACCTCAATGTTCATCACATTTTACTACTTGACTATTAGTTGGGCCACAGTGGCTGAAAAATGGGATTTTAAAAATCCCTGCCATACAGCACAATACTTGGTAATCAACCAGCTCTTAAATTGGATGTTATAATGGGCATGATACTCAGAGGCTGATATGTTGTGAGGAGTGAACTAGTTACATTTGCCATCTGGTACCCCTGCAGCTGGCAACTTAATTAACATGCACCTGCTCAAAAAGGAGCAGAGTCATTAATAATCTAGTACCTACTGGAAAAATATCTTTGTTAACTCCAATCCCCAGTAATAGCTGACAATGTAAAACAGCACTGTCAAACTGGAATCATGAATTAGCAGTTGAGGACTTTTTGAATAGATTATTTGCTTTTGCTGTTTTTCTGCCTTGAGTCAGTAAACCATTTTTTTTCTGCACACTCCTCTGAAGACATTAACTAAGCTACAACACCCTGGTACATGATACCCTCTAGCATCTCTGCCAACAACATAATCACCCTGACCTGTAGCACCCTTAAGTACCTGGCTACCCCTCCTTAGGATGGCTCTCTCTAATATCTCCCTATGCCTGATCACCCAAAGCTGTATCCTCAGTATCTAACTTCCATCTTATTTCAGCGTGACTGTATGCAGGCATATATCAGACTACAGCACTCCATTTTGTGCACTGAAACCAAGATGTTATAGGAAAACATGCAAGTGTGCAGAACCATTATGATACAAATAACTTACATTCAAGGCAACTTCTTTATGCTCCTACCACTGACATATCACTAATACCTGAGCTTGTTTCCATTCGCAGGTTAAATGGGCATATGGTCTGCAAATTTTACATGACCACCATCTCAAAATCCTACAGACAACACATTAAGAACACTGTCAGAGTTGAATAAGACTATATTATGTTTGAGGAATCTGTCAGTTTAGAAATGAGGACACTCCATAACTCAACTTTCTAAGTCCGGGCATCAAAGGGCTGTATGAAACGTACATGCTTTCAGAGGTACATTAGTGCAAGAATGACCCAATTAAATAAGTAATCAAATATCAAGAGGGAAATGTCATATTCCATTTAAATTAAGAACCACTGAAATGCTATTAAAAGCTGTACTTAGTACATTAAGGTTTTGATTTGCATAGCAATAGGATTTCAGATATTAATGCTATGCTTATGGCTTCTGGTTCTGGAGGCTGCGGTACAGGCAGTATGGATATGTCATTCCTTTAATCTGTGTTTCAAGGAAAATGCATTAGTCCTGCCTTGATTTGAGTAGCTTTATCTATCTGATAATCAGATCTGTTTGCATCTGAATTGGGGCAGATTAATGTTCTGAAGAAACTGACGGGTTTGTATGCTTTTGGGATCATGCAGTTACACTAACAATTAGGATATATTTAAATATATAATTCTCATACCACAAAAGGTGTGAGCAATCACAGAATTGTACAGTGCAAGAGATCAGTCAGACCATCAGCGCTTTTCTTCTAAAAAGCTAGCCCATAGTTCTATTCACCATTCTCTCTACATAATTGCTGTCATTACCTCTTAAGTTACTGCTAAATCTGCATCCACAACTCTATCAAGGCTCTTCATTCTAATAAACTGCTACATTGTAAAACAAAAAAAAATCCTTACCTTCCACTTCTTTTGCTAATTCTTTTAAATCTGGACTATGGATTGCTGTACAAAGTCAGAATGAATTTAATGAGTTGAATAGTCTCCTGTGTATTAATCACTGACTCCACTGGTTCATAACCCTCCTGGCAGTGGAAACTTCTCCTTTCTTAAAATTGATATTGAACACTTCAGTTAAATCCACCATTAACCTTCTTTGCTCCGAGATAAGTCATGGCTTCTTGACATACCTGAAAGTACCCTCAATCCTGAAGCTTTTCTGGTGAATCCAGTTTGCAGCCCTCCGGAACCTTGGCTTTCTTCCTAGAATGTGCTGGTTGGAATGCGAGATTGTGGCCATGATCTTATTGCAGAGTAAGCTTGAGGGGCTCTAATTCATGTTAACATTGTGAAAGAATGTGTAAATACTTGGGCCTTTTTTTTTTAAACAAACTCCCAATTCATTCAAGGAATTTTAGCTCAAAGAGCTTGTACATATTTTCTTTTTAATTTTCAGAACAGGAAAGAAATCAGCAGGCCAGTATTTGTTCCCAAGCCCATCTGTACTTCAAGCCACTTCTCAAGATATACTGGGTAGAGGAAGTGGGGGACAGATTCCCTTTCATGTTATAGATTAGAGATCCAGTTGTATTGTTAGTGACAATCTGGTGTCAGCCCACAGACTACAAAATTTACTGAAAAAGTAGGATTTGAATTGTCCCTCAGGGTCTTATTACCACACCTCATATAAGATGAGGCAGTGACTGTGGCAGCTGAGTTCACAGACAGCAATATCACAGCTGTCTGTACTTAGCATCTCCACACATCATTTTAAGGGAGGGCACTGGAAAGCGAGAAGCAGCCAGAATCCTATCTGGTTTTGAGCTGGGAGTAGTAAATCATGGTATTCCAACCAAGATTAAAACACTACAAGTCACAGAATCAAAACTAAATTGTGGTAAGAGTGATGCATTAGTGATACAGTAGACTATGGGGCCAAACAGGACACTTCTGTCAATTAAGTCCAGCTTTTATAAAAAGACAGGATCTATATTCTGTAGAGTTTCAAAAATGAGAGGTGATCTCTTTGAGGCGTACAAGAGGAATACAGGGCTCAAAAGCCATATACAATTTTTCTCCTTAGCTTGTAGTATCTAGAACCCAATGAGAAAGTCTCAGCATTAGGAGTATGTAGGCAGCACGGTGACTCTGGTAAGCACTACTGCCTCACAGCGCCAGGGTCCTGGGTTTAATTTCAGCCTCGGGTGACTGTCTCGTGTGGAGTTTGCACATTCTCCTCATGTCTGCATGGGTTTCCTCCTACAGTCCAAAGATGTACAGTTTGAGTGGTTTGGACATGGAAATGTGGCGTTACAGGGATAGGGTGGGGTGGACTCGAATGGCCTGCTTCCAGTCTGTAGGGATTCCATGATTCTATGTTCAAGATAGACCAATAGGTTTCTAGAAATTAAGAGACATCAAGGAACATAAGGATAGTACAGGAAAGAGAAAGATCAGCATTGATCTAGTCGAATGGTGGAGAAAGCTCAAGGGGCTGAATAGCTTATCCTCCATTTTCTATGTTTCTAGAGAGAATAGACTCACCAGGTTGCAAGATAAATAAGACAGTTCCCTACAGTGCTGACTCTGCTCAAATACCATTGTAACTTTGCTGCCTCATCAGGCTACTATGCCTCATAGCAGACAACAGGTGCTGCTCTCTCCTCATGTATCTCAGACAATGAGAAACAAGGAGATTTTCTTGGAGCAGGCTTCCTCAGCTGCTGGCTGTAACTTCAGACCAATAATAATGAAACACAAATTTACATCCATGCCCCATGTCCTCTCCTGCTTCCAACCTGACGAAAGGGTAAAAACAGCTATTTAGATTTTGTTTAAAAAACAGATGGGCTGTCAATTAAGGTAACAGGCAATCAGTAAATCCAGAACTTGGATAAATATCTGCTGGATATCTGGGCAAGAGAGATGGCATGTGCTATGACTCCTGGACATCTTAGTAGAATTATCAGTGTCAGTAATTACCATCAACAATCCAGTGCTGGTTATTGAAAAGTCATGTTAACATAGGATGCTGTAAGGCCTATCAATGCTCTTTATACTGGAATATACTGCCGCCTCCATCATTCCCCTCAATCACGATGTCTTGGGAAATTCCTGAACCCTTAGGTCCTGTCCAACATGTTAGACAAAAAAAAAATGACCCACATAACAGTGGTAGGGAAAGTTAAGTATTTTCTCAAGAACTGTTCTCCTTCAGAAACTTTTCTGCATTTGACAAATATTGTCCTGTAACTATTCTCTGCAATGGGGCTCAGCTTCCTCAGTCAGATAACATATAAACTTCTCAATTTAGTCACAAATATAGCACAGGAAATTTCAGAGCCATGTTGGTAAAATGCTGTTTCTGGCTTAACTAATGTGACCTTTGCCAACATTACACATAGCCCGTGAAGTTTTAAACACAACCCCATTCATAAAGTTTTGAAACAAAACATTTACTGGAGCACAGCAATTAAAGGTTCTCCAATCAGCAATTCAACATTGAAAAATATAGGCAGCAAAACACAATTAGCCAACAAAGTGAACCAAATCTGAAGCTTGCCGACTTAAAAAAATCATTTAGCAGAGATTCTGCTCAAACACTAATTCCGAATATTTCCTCTGCTCCAAAGAGCCGGATTTCCAAGCAGTTGGAAATTTTCTGCAGAATAAATGGTGTGTTTACTGCTTCTGTACTTTGTTGGTGTAATAACTGTACAAAAGTTCAATGTGCTGACAGATATCATTGCATGAAACTAATCAGTAAGACATTCTCTCCCCGGATGAAAAGTTGATTGACATGTCTTTGAGAAACCTGCTGATAATCTATCCTGGGTAGGGATTTCTTTCTCAGTTTCTTTTTCCCTCCTGTCAATGTCCTGAGCACCAAGCTCGTTTCTTTGGTGTTTCCCTTTGATCGATCAATGTCTCCTCCTTCATTCTGTGCAGAGAGGTTTAAGGTATCGGAGGTTACCTGCGTGAGTCCTGTTTTAAGTGCACAGGTCAGGTTTTTGCTGTCATCCTGTTCAGCTTTAGCACCTTCCAACTTCTCGGGTAAGCAGCCTGTCTGTTCTGTAGTTTTGGCACCTGGTTCCTCACTTGCAGATCTTTCTTGTAGTTTCAGACGATCAAAAAGCTGAATTTGAAAATAAATTTAGTTAACACAATACAATGCATGGTGCCTAAAGATAATTTAAATCGAACTGAATTATGGGCTAAATATAATGCAGATTTAATACATAAAACCATCCCTGTCATGTCCATTAAACACTCCTGGGCAAGGTACAGCATAGTTTAGATACAGAGCAGTAGTCCCCCCTATGCTGTTTTATGAAATAATTCAGTATGAGGCATGCACAGGTTAAACAGATAAAAATACTTCTCCATGTAACCATGAGCACACACCCTACCAAATCACAGTTTTAATGTAGCTAAAAATGCATATTTAATACTAAAGCTGTTACGTGCAAAACATTCGTGGCAGTGAAAACTTTCCACTGTGTTTTACTGTTTTTCTCACTGTAAGATACATGACAATAAAAATCATCAACTGAGCTGAAATCGTAATGTTTCTTTCTCTCTCCCCCTCTCCAGAGTATTTTCAGTGCATTTAATCAGCACAACTATCACCCTTCATAGGTTTCCCTTAAATATTATCTTCAGAAAGAGAGTAAATGAGATCATGCAGGGTTCCTGCTACTGAATATAGAGTCAAACAATATGGAAACAGACTCTTCAGTCCAAGCCGACCGTAATCCCAAACTAAATTAGTCCAACCTGCCTGCACTTGGCCCACATCACTCCAAACATTCCTTATTCATGTATTTATCCAAATCTTGTTCAAACACTGTTCTCCCACACACAGAATGAATGCAGGATAGTAGTCAGGCTAAGGGGGCACAGAATGGCTAGTGGGGCCTGCAAGCAGGAGACAGCAGCTTTGGACTGGGAGGAGAGAGAAAGTTGAGCAGAATGCCTGAAAACCATTAGTTTTCAAAAAACATCATGTCAAAGTCTCGACTTACCCTGCCAACGGTTAATACTGGTTCATTGTAAAAGGCTTTTCCAAGGACAGGTTTCCTGAAGGTCTCATCCACATCTACAAGTGCCTGAAATAATGGTGGCAGATAAGACAAATTAACAGGCTCGAGTGCTGCATCTCACATTTGTTAAAATCCTGGAAGCTGTGAAATCACTCACTCTTCTGTCACGACTTTAGGACAAACTGCAACCCTACTCGGGGTGGTTCAGTGGTAAGCACTGCTGCCTCTCACCATCAGGGTCTTAGGCTTGATTCCAGCCTTGGCTGACAGTCCGTATGGAGTCTGCACATTCTCCCCACGCTTGCGTGGGTTTCCACTAGGTGCTCCAGTTTCCTTCCATAGTCCAAAGATGCGCAGTTTAGGTGGATTGGCTATGCTAAAATTGCCCCATAATGTCCAGGGACATACAAAATAGGTGGCTTAGTCATGGAAAAGACGGGGTCACAATAGGGTGGGGGGTGGTTTTGAGGCAGGATGCTTTTTGGAAGGTTGGTGCAGACTCAAGGGGCTGTATGGCCTCTTTCCACACTGTGTAGGGATTTTATGATTCTGACTACAGCAGCTGAACATTGACACAGAGATGTTTCTGCTTTTCATCAAGATGAAGTCAAAACATAACTTAAAATGACATACAAAAGGAAGGCCATTTAGCCATCTTATATCATTGCTCCCAAAATTCGTGACAATAGCATCCTCCCTCCATGGCATCTGTCCAAGAGTCTATTCTATGTTAATCAATTTTAGCGTAAAGCAACACAATACCATCAATTCTAAATCTGTCTATCACCAAACTGTGACCCCCATTCTATCTGCAGTTCACTTTCTCATGATTTTCTAAATTGATACATCTCTCAGGTAACCTCATTTCACTGAGGACAAACCCAGGTTGCACTAGATTAAAGTGATGCGCCTTGTTATTTCTCCTCTAGGGATTGTGTCTCTGTGATCTTAAACGGACAATACTCAAAGTGTGGTCATGAGTGTTTCGCATTCCTAATCACCATATTTAATAGATCCTGCTGGAAGATGCAAATATACATAACTAAGCCCAGTCTATGTTGTAAGTCCTCCGTTTAAATAGCCTGACAACACCCACTATCGCAAAATAGCTAAGAGGGTGGAAAATAAAAAGAGCATAAGTGTTGCAACGATAGCCGGCAGGTAAACTGGGAAAGGAAATATTAATAGCTTTGACTTATTTTCACGTGAAGTGTACAGCGAAGAGGAAGCATTTATTACCATATTCCAGAACTTGTCGAATGTAACCAAGAATCCTGAGCAGACACCCCGTAGTCCTTTGAAAGTCCGAATATGGACATTGACCTTTATCCTGTCCTGAACGCAACGATACAATTCACCCAGTGGGCTGCCTTCATGTACTGAGAACACAATAAACCATTCCCAGTTATATATACATTAAAGAGTGCACAACAGTGCAGTTTAAAAAAAAGATGCATTATTGCTTGTTGCCACTGGAGGTCATCAAAGCTACACTGTACAGCAAGAATATCTTCACCATGCAGAAATCAAATCCAATATCAATGTTCTAGCTAGATAAACTTTGCAGACAACAAAGGCCTTGCCTTCAATTTCAAGGTACAGCCTTTCTGGAGGATTGGTGGTGAAAGACAGCACCTGAGTGTTCCTGAGGCAACAAGCTTATTTACAATCATTTTTTGATAACTAAGTGCCAAATTGATAATACAATCATCAATAACTATAAACATGGTGCTATTGCATGATGTACAGATAACAGATAACAATCTGGGACCTTACACTACTTATATGGAAACATTACTCAGGATCCAAATACATTATAAAACACACTTAATGGGTTAAACTCTCTATAAATGAATGGATTTGATATATCAGTTTTGTACTAGGAATAAAACTAATAGAGGTAAGATAATTGAGATATTGCAGCTTTAAGGGAGATGAGGAAAGGACAAATATTTATAAGGAATATCCACAGTAAGTCCCAAGGTAGTCCACTATTAACAATGCCCTTTTGGAAGGACAGTGACTGCTTTGTTGACATTAAATGACAGCCTAATTATGCACAAAATCCCACAAACTGCAATGGAATAAAACACCAGATCAACTGCTTTTGATAATGTGACGAAGAAAAGCTTGCCAGATGACCACTAGAAATCCTCTGACATTAGCAAAAAAACATGCTGGTATTTTTTATGTCCAAACGATTTAGCAGGCAGGATCTCCAATTTAGAAAAGTATCACCTCTTTACTTCAAATAAAATTACTCTGTCAAACTACACTGAATTATCAGCCTTGATTATGTACAACCTCTGACTCAGGGACAACTATGGCGGGACATAATGACAGAAGTGTGCCATTACGTCGAAATTTAACGACCATGGTTTTGAATTTGCAATTTATAAATAGGCTCTTCAAAAAAAAGCAATGGGAATAAACAATTGGAAAAACTATTAAATCAGGCATTCGCACTCTCTCTCTTTCTCTCTCTCTCACTCTCTCGCCCTGCTGCATGCATACCTCTGGTTGAGCAATAACGAAGCAGCCCTGAAAGCGGTCATGGAGGTGTCCATGGCCCACACCATACTGCGCTCCTGGCTGGAGGAGGCGAGCTGCTCCTACAGGGAAACAAAGAGCAAAAGTCAGGGCTCGAGATGAACACACCTCACACGCTGTCACAGAAACTTGCACAACACAAACGCCCACTAACTCTCAACACACACTGTTTCAGACTCTAGCGAGCAAGGACAAATCACCTTCTGTCTAAATTAATTCTCGGTTAATTGCATTTTTACCTGAGTCTAACCCTTCCCTAAAAGATTCTGATTAGATTCTCCTGGTCTGCTATTCTCCATCCCCAGGACCTTACCTGAGTTTTGTTATTGATGTACAGAGACTGAGTGTCAAGTTTGGGAACTGAGTCTAATGCAGTCCTCACCCAAATTCCATGCAAACAATTTGTCTGTCAGCAAGCTAATGAATGATGGTGAAGATTGGGGGCCTTGGCAGAAAACACAGGTGCTGAGACATTCCTCAGGTTTAGGCTGCAGTCACTATATTTGAGAGTAACCTGTAACAATCACCTGTGAAGTGGTCAGTGCCACAACATGGAGGGCAGAAACACACTAAACCACGAGGGAAAGCTATCAATGTTCTTTATGCACTTCCACTGAAAGATGTGAAAAGGAGCAACGTGCTCAATGAATTTGTAAGGGTCAGTCTGTAGATTTACTCATTGACCAAGCAATCAGGATTGTATCTGAGCTTTATTCTGCCTGTGGAAATAGCAGTGTCACATCAATGAGAGTGGAGACACAGCACAGTATTAAAGCGTGAGTAATGTACACTGCACATTACAAAGCTTTTATACAAGGCTGATACTTCCTACAGCTGACTAGGCACAAGTCTGTTAAATATGCCTTGTGACATCAGCATTGTTTTATAGGATTTAATTCAACACACTCGTTTGTTAGCACAGAGCTTGAATGTTGCTGTAAGAACATGACACATTTCTAAACCTTTCATCTCAGGTTAATTCAGAGAAATACCATATCTGGCAATCATGATCATCGACAGGTCAGAAATACCCAAAGAGCGGGAGGTTCACTCTCTCCTTATGCTGCATATATGTTTGTTTCTCTCACAAATTGTTCTGCCACGTGCAGGATGAAAGCTTTAGCAGAATGTGACTTCTTTTCAACAAAATACAAATATTATGATCCCAACTGAAGGCAATATTGGACAAGTCAAATTCCAGCATAAATCCTGGTTTGTTAAAACATAAGCTTTACTTTTATCATATTGATTATTATGGTGGTCAGTCACTGAACATGTGCACACAAGACTGTCACCGTACTTTTAGCAATTGAAGTTTATTACACAAAAAGAAAAAAAAAGTAAAGCTATGAAACAGTTTGAAAGATCCTACTATAAACAGCAAATGGAATGAGCCATTTTCTCTGCAATATTCTTTATGCAGAACCAAAGTGAAGTATCAGTCCTAACTTCACTTTAGCATTTCTTATGGGACTAACAAGATTTTGAGGGATCCCTCTCGGCAGCTTTCTGCATATCCACCAGATGTGATTTTTTTTCCATTTCTGTCTCTCCCTGAGACACATACAGACAGGCTACTACACCGACTCTGCTCTGATTTTCACTACCTTGAGATTGCTAAAACTTCTTAAAATTTCAATCCGGCTGTTCTCCTGAAGATATCCAGTGACTAAAATTTACCCTTCTACTGGAATGCTCTTTTCTTCTTAACTCAACCTGCTTTTGGTCCCCAGTCAACGGTCTTTGGTCTAGGTTGTAAAAGTTCCATTGAGCAAACAACACAGCAATTATCTCCACTGGCAACTCGCAACATCTAAAGTATGTCACATGCTTTCTTTCATGTCTTTATTCACTGAATAAAATTACTTTTCTGATTTTTCTTAAGGGTCACCACTTAAAAGGACTGAAAACCAAAACCTAATTTATCTCATTCTACTTTTGAATCCAAGATCCCAAAAGTAATAAGATTATATTTAAACACGTTCATCACACATCTCCCCAACCATTTCTAATTGGTTTCTCTCAAAATTTCCTCCAATCACCAAATATATTTTGTGTTGATATATTTACATTAAACACAAGGGTTTTTACAACAACCATATTCTATATAAGTTCATCCCATTCACGACATTCATTGTTTTTCATATTTTCTCTAATAGGAATTATTTTCAAATTATATGCTTGTAACATTCAATTACAGTGAAAGTCTCAGATTTTGATTTGGAAATCAAAGAATTATCGTAGAATTATAGAATCCTTATAGTGAGGAAGCAGTCCATTCAGCCAATTGAGTCCACACCAACCCTCCAAAGAGCATCCCACCCAGATCCACCCCACCTACCCCACCTACCCTATCCCTGTGACCCTGTACTTCCAATGGCTAATCCACTTAGCTTGCACATCCCTGGATGATATGGGCAATTTAGCATGGCCAATCCACCTGACCTGCACATCTCTGGACTGTGGGAGGAAACCCACGCAGGCACACAGAGAATATGCAAACTCTACAAAAACAGTCACCCCAGGGTGGAATCGAACCAGGGAGCCTGGTATTGAGGCAGCAGTGCTAACCACTGAGCCACTGTCCTGCCCCCCCAGAAATGCTCCAGGAAGATTAATGGGTTGAGATCTCTATAAAATAAGTCTCTTCAGAGTTGTTCACTATTATATTGTGATCCTAGCTGATGGTTATAGCAGACAAGTCAGATTTCAGAATAAGTGTGGCTTGATAAGGCTGTATATGTTTTTCTTGTTTAACATGGCTGTACTTTACTGTAACATAAGCACACAAGTTTTGGTTTTATCAATAAAGTTTATTACACAAATGAGTTCAGAAGAAATAGATGTACAGGATTTGGAGCTAGTTAGGATTTGATACCTGAGTCTTGAATAATCTCAAGTTTATGAAACACAAAATATGGGACAGAAGCCAGAAATACAATAGAATGGTTAAGTATGAGGGTTTCAAAAACAGAAGACTGGATGTAGGTATGGAAATGAGCAAGGTTATAGAGGTGGAAACAGGTAGTCTTTTATACAGTTTAGATATCCACACAGATACATTACTGAACTTGCAGTCTGGTTCAGCCTCAGGTAGTTGCTGAAGAGAATGGTCAAATCAGTGGCAATAACCAAAGACAATAACTAACACCTAGAGATTTATTTATGACACAGGAGGAAGCATCAGGGATTGAAATGCCTACTCTGGCTCATATGTTCTTAGGCTGTTTGGCCCATCATGTTCATGCTAGTGATAAAGTATGCATTCAATCTAATCCCACTTTCTAGTTTATGATCCTTGAAGATTACAGTACTTAGTATTTTTTAATCTGTGATGAAGTTTTCTATCTTTGCCATATTTTCAGTCAGAGAATTTAGACATCCCTCATTGCCTAATTCTCCATTCTTGCCATCATCCCCAGAAACATCTGCTCTGTGCCCTTTCGGATGTGATTTCATTCTCCCTGTAACGCAGTGACCAGAACTCTATGCAGTACTGCAGCTGTGGCCCAACTAGTTTTTTTTTAAACAATTCTACCATAACTTCCTTACTGTCATTGTCAGTTCTCTGCAAATAAAGGCAGGTATCCCCTATCTACCAATCATATCACCTCTACATCTCCCTTTAAGTCTCTCCTCCTGTAGGACACTGCTTAAAACCTGCTAACCTTAAGGGATGTATAGACATGTACCCAAAAATCCTTATTATTCCTCTCCACTTCTCAGAGCACCTACACTATTCCCACTTTTCTGCACTAAGCCCATAGCCTTGAATGTTGAGATTTTAACACCTCTATTAAATCTTTCCTTGGCCTTTCTTCCAAAGGAGAACAATGCCCAACTTCACCAGTCTCACAAAGCACTGGGAATACTGAACTTTGCAGCACTTAACATTCAGAAACTCAAAATCATTCATGGATTACACAAGCTTCTGCTTTCAAGCCAGCTACATTTTACAGCCAATGGCTGGTGCAAGCCAAACTCTATGTTTTCACTAGCCTTAAACATTTGCAATCTACCTAAATCCACCGTATCTGATCAGGACAACCAAGCTATGGAAAGAAATGTGGACTGTTTATATCAAGAATGCTAATCAAACTGTATGCACCATATCTAATGATAAAAGAAAATGCTTGTGGTTTGCAATTGGATGTTTTTAACCCACTTAGTATTTTTTACATAGGTACATAATGTTAAAATAACATGGAGGTTATGGTGGTAAGATAGAGCTGGGTGTTGTTAGCAGAAATGTCAAAACTAACGATGTCTTTCCTTATATGTTGTGGAAAAGCAGCATGTAGATGGGAAAAAAGGAGGGATCCAAAGATAGATCCCTGGTAACTACACATGAATGGGAATCAAATCCCATTGACAACGATTCTTTAGCTATAATTAGGCAGGCAAGAATAGAACCAGGAAAGTGCAGTCACAGATACCTGGCAGCTAATGAAGACACATTGGAGGATGGTGCAGCTAACTGAGTGAAAGGCTGTAGAAGGGTCGAGAAGGATGAAAATGAATAGTTCACCTTCGTCATAATCACACATGATGCAATCTTTGGACAACAACTATTTTGATACTTATCAAAGCTCCATTCTGAATGAATTAAAGGAGTTTATATTGTCTTTGATGCAATCGAGGATTTGTTCACAGGGAGTATACTTAATAGTTATACTTATTATTTGGTGCTTTGTTTGCCAAACATAACAAATTAGGAGTTCATAGTACAACGGGATGTAACTGAAATTCTATCATAATCCAGTCCCTCACTCTGCTGTCTGGGGAGCACTTAGAATTACATAAAAGGAGACCCAGCCTGTTCAACTTTTCTGAGATATAAATTGAGTTTCAGTACCATCTGTATCAATCCAACTTTTAATGCCTTCCCCACTGCCTCTAGATGTTTTTTTTTAAAAAAATACCATTAAACTACAAATGCTATGTGCAGTCAATGTTCCACCCAGGTTTAATATAACCTTGTTCTGAGGAAGGGTCACCGGACCCACAATGTTCGCTCTGATTTATCTCCACAGATGCTGCCAGACCTGCTGAGCTTTTCCAGCAACTTCTGTTTTTAATCTAACTTTGCTTTTCGGTCTTATTCTTGAAATGAGCCAATTTTGGAACATTATCTGGTTTTGTTAGCCCCCTACCCTTGATCTTAATTTGAGGACTTGAACCCCGAGATCCCCTTGCTCCTTTTGATAAGTTTGGGCTCCTTTTCCAACTTGATTCCCTGATCCCACCCACCAAAAGGTGCAACCTCAAGGCGGAACCTTTATAACTCCAAATATATGCAGCATGTACGCTGCAAATATCGCTCAGGGGCCTCTCCATCCCCGGGCTCAGTTACTCACGGGCCATCCTGGTCAGCACATTTTTCGGGGCCCGCTCCCTCCGGAGGGGCCTGGGCCTGTCGTCGCTGCTCTGCTCGGCCACCATCAGCTTCTTGAGGCGCTCGATCCTGTCGGGGTCCGGGGGAGGCCAGGCGGCATTGCGGCGGCGCCCGCGGGCCCTGTGGCAGCCGGAGGCCTGAGCCTGGGCCTGGGCCTGGGCCGGGTCCCCGGGTTCCTGCTGCTGCCGCCGCCGCCTCAGGAAGCTCTGGTACTCGGCAATGTTGTTGAAGGTGCGGACATTGGGGAAAGGCAGCGGCGGCGGCAGGCTGCTGTACAGCGCCAGGTACGGGTCAAAACGCGGAGAGCTGACATTCAGCCGCCCGGCCTCGTCATCCTCGTCCTCCTCCAGCCCGGGCTCTGAGCTCTCGGCCTCCGCCATATCCCAGCGGCTCACGCTCTCCCCGCTGCTAAGATAGGGCACTTTCACCAGCCGCCATGTTGGGTCCGCTCGCGCTGGGCATTGTGGGACCGAAACGAAAAGGAAAAGTTGGAGAAAGGCGGCAGCAGCAGCAGCGTTTGTGAAGCATTTGGGTGTTCTTGTGTCACACTGGACTCAAAACGTTAACTCTCTTCCCCTGTCCATAGATACTGTCAGATTTGATGAGATTTTCCAGCACTTTGTAGAGTCATAGAGTATTAAAACAGACCCATTGGTCCAACTTGTCCATGCCAACCAAGTTTCCCAAACTGTCCCAGTTGCCTGATTTTAGCCAATACGGCCACTATCTAAACCTTTCCTATACATGTACCTATCCAAATGTCTTTTAAATATTGTGACTCTACGTCCATCTATCACTTCCTCTCTATTTCAATTTCCAGCATCTGCACTATTTTGCTTTTATCTGAGCATTATGTGACCTTCTCCACCTCAAACCAGGATTTTTCTTTCAAACAGCACCTTTTAGGAAGTCCCAAAGTGACTACCCTCCCGCACTTTCCTTTCCAAAACAAAATAAAATCAAATGGGCTGTCACTGTGGCCCAGAAAGGCAACTACCAATCTGAACAAAGCACCAACTCACAGCCGAGGCCACATACTTTGTTACTTTAGAAGCATGTTGGGGATCGGGATAGTAAATGTTCAGTAACTATCTCTGATCTTCAAATAGGATCACATGGAGATGTGATATTGACCTATGAGGGTAGATGGAGCCTCAGTCTGTTCAGAAGACGGCTTCCCAGACTCTAGACTGAATGTCAACCAAGACTCGGTGCTCCAATTTCAAAGTAGGCCTTGAATCCATCACCTCTTGCCACAAAACCAATACAACAAATCCCAAACACTTTGATTGTATTTTGAATTTACATAACACCCTTGTTCAAAACCCATCAAAGCTCCTCACAGCTAATTAACTTTTTTCAATTGGAGTCACTATTTTGCAGTAGCCAATTTGCACATAGGAAGATGTCTTTGTGGATTGGTAACAGCCAAATCAGAAGAAACTCTCAGACCCACTCAAAATAAATTATAAAAGCTACACATATTTTAAAAGTTATTACAATCCACCTTTCCCTGCCCCAATAGCTATTGATTCACAATAAGGTCATGCTTACTACGAGGAAGGTGTCCAGTTACTTAAATAAAAACAAAATGCTGGAAATACTCAGCACGTCTAGAGACACCTGTTGAGAGGGAAGCAGAGTTAGGTCTGATTTCAGAAGAAGTCATTTGGACTCAAGAGTATCCAAGAATAGACCTACTAACATCTGCCACAGGTAGATTAATGAAAACAATGTGAATTAAGTTTTTTACTCACGTTGGGTCCTTCATCTCTTTCTGCAGACCCAGTCTAGCAGCAATGTCCTTTAAGACTTTGCCAATAGTGGTGCTATCGATCTGCTCTTGGTGATGAACACTGAAGTCTCCCTGTATCCTCAAAGTAGTGTTAAACATGGAGGAATATTTGTTCTTCAGCTGAGTGGCAGTAAATGGTAAATTAGCAGCATGTTTCCTTGCCCATGTTTGACCCGATGCCACGAGGTCTGGAGTCAGCATTGATGATGCCCAGGGCAACTCCCAATCATATAATATTGTTCCACCACAGCTGATAGGATACTAGATTCCCAGGGTTGGAAGTGATGGTGTTTGGCACATAATCATGGAATTATACCTTACAGATAATGGCCACCTGTTGCATGACAAGGGTGTGGGAGACCTCACCCAATTTCAATCCACCCTTCCAGATCTTAAGGAGAACTTTGCAGGATTGACAGAGCTGACCTTATGATTGTTGGTTTAGTGCCTAGATTGATGTAGGAAGTCTGTTTGAATAATTCCTTTGTTTAAACTTTATAATGACTTGGTACAACTGAGAGCCTTACTAGGCCATTTCAGAGGGCAGTTGAGGATCAATCACATTACTATGGGTCCGAAGTCATATGCAAGTCAGACAAGGAAAAGATAGATCTCCTACAGAAGAATTTCCCTTCTTATGAACTGAAGCCATTCTTGAGAAGATTATCTGGTTAGAGCGATATTCCTTCAGACGTTGAATAGATGCAGTCACCTTGTTGCAGCGTATGTGATTACAAGCAATGCCAACTGTATGTGCAACTCTCCTGTTAATAATTTATGCTGCCTTTCACTCCTCCAGGCTGAAGCCTCTTGCAGCGTATTCTTTTGTGTGATAACTGACAGTGGGACACCTAACAAATGGTCAAAGGGGGCCAGTAACTTGGCATACTTTAGTCTATTCTGCCTTACACCTGTGAACTTTTCTGGTTGGCTGATTGAACCAAGTCCGACTATTTTTTGCCAGTCCTTGTAGAAATCAGGGGTCACAATCATTCCATTTCGACTTGGGGCCTGGCTGTTTATTGAAGGGCTGAAACCCTCCTGGAGGAAGTTGGCTACTTTAGTTCGTAAGAAAAGGAGATTCTTCTGCAGAACAAATTAAAGTGGCAACTCCGCTAACTGGACCAGTTATGCCAATCCAAAATATATAGAATATGTACAAAAAAAAAAGGCCTGGGTGATCTCAGATCATAAGAAGAACTTCAAGGTTTCTGTAAGCCTCAGTATGGATTGTGCCAATGCCTGTTTGTTTGGAATCTGTGCAAGGAGAGCAAAAGAAGCAGCAGAATAGGACTTAAACAAAAACTAAAACATCTGGGACTGTTCAATAAATAACTTACCTTTTTAAAAAAAAAACTCCTTCCCAAAAGGGTGTCAAGTGAATCAGATGGGACTTTATGATATTCGACAATTATTACCTGGTTGTCAATATACTCACTTTTAATTCCAGATTTTTTTGAATTTAAATGTTACTTCCTATTACAAAGGAATGTGAACCCACATTGCCAGATGAAGAACCTCGGTTTATGGATTGCTAGTCCAGTGATATTACCATAATGATCTCATTAAAACGTACAAAATTGTTACAAGATGGATGGAGACAAGATGTTTCCCTGACTGGGAGTCTAAAAATCATGGACATAATATATTGAGGAAAAGGCATCTAAGACTAAGATGAGGAGGAATTTCTTCAAACAGAAGATGGTGAATATTTGAAATTCTCTACCCCAGTTTAGGACTGGAACCACAAAAGTTTGTGAAATCTAATTTTTATGAACAGAAATCAAGCATGTGAATTGAAAATAAATTACCCAGCACAAATTTGATTCGCTTGCCAGCTAGGCTATTCCTCTTCCCAAATCTTGTCTGTGGTGCAACCAGGCTGCTCACAACGTTGGTATCCTACCTGAACTCAAGTGAGCTTCTGTCTTTCCTCTCCCATCACCAAGTCCTCCAACTCCATAACAATGTCTGACTCTGCACCTATCCTAGCTCTTCCAATGCTGAAACCCTCATTAATGCCTTTGATACTACTTAGACCTGACTGTTCTAATGCTGTCCTGGCTAGTCCTTTACTTTGCACCATTTGTAAGCTCAAATTTGTCCAGAACTCTGCCATCCATAACTAAACCCACACCAATTCCTGTCATCCATCCCATTATCACTGGTCCACCTTAGAATCCATCTAGAAATATTACTTGGTAATTTTAAATCAAGTCTTTTGAGGATGTTGCTGTATAAAGACTTCAGGGGGCAGAGTCTCAAAATAAGGGGGAGCAGATTGAGAAGGAACTTTTTCACCCAAAGGGTTTTGAATCTATGGAATTCCCTGTCCAGTGAAACAGTTGAGGATACCTCATTTGAATATTTTTAAACATAACAAGATAGATTTTTGAACAGTAATGGAATTAAAGGTTGTAATGAGCAGGGAGGCGAGTGGAGCTGAGTTCACGAATAGATCAGCCATGATCTTATTGAATGGTGGAGAGGGCTTGAAGGGCCAGAGGTCTATTCCTGCACCTATTTGGTATGTTTTTATGTTCTAAGTCTCAACAGAAAGATTGGGAGAGCTGTCTCACAGGCTGACCAAGCTACAGCCAGAAATAGACATACTCGAATAATCATACCTTATGCACAATGTTCCATACACCAGTATTATTATCCCTGGATATGTCCTGTCCCACCAGAGGTAGTATACAGATAGGAGGAAGTTACCCTGGGAGTCCTTGACAGCGTGGAGTCTGGAGTCAAAGTCTCATGGCTTCAGGTCAAACATGAGCAAGGAACATCAGCACTGCTGATCACCACATACCATCCTCTCTCAGCTCATGAATCATTACTCCTCCATGTTGAACAATATTTGAAGCAACGACTGAGCCTGCCAAGGGCTCAAAATGTACTTGGGGCAGGGGTGGGGTGGTTGAGGGGGGGGGAGGTGGTGGGCAAGAGGAGATTTCGATGTCCCTCACCAAGAATGGCCCAGTCCAGCAGCAACAGCACTACTGGTCTGATCATAAAGAACATAGCTGCTGGACTGGGTTTGCAGCTGGTGCAGGACTAAAGATGGAAAAACATACTTGACCTCATCCTTATCAATCTGCCTGCTGCAGATGGAACTGTCCATGACAGTATCGGTAAGAGTGACCACTGCACAGTCCTTGTGGAGACAATGTGTTGCCTTCACATTGAGAATATCCTCCATCGTGTAGGGTGGCACTGTAACCAAGCTAAACAGGACAGACTACAAACCGATCAAGCAACTCAAGACTGGACATCCATGAGGCACTGTGGATCATCCAACAGTAGCAAAGTTGTACTCCAGCACAATCTGCAACCTCACAGCTTGCCCTATCTCCTACTCAGCCAGTAGATTACCACCTCATCAATCTACTCTCAATCATGGAAGCGATGGAAAACAGTGCAATCAAGCAGCACCTGCTCAGCAATAACCTACTTACTGAAGCCCAGTTTGGGCTCTGCCAGAGCCACTTAACTCCTGACCTCGTGGTTCAAACATGGATAAAACAACTGGGTTCCAGAGATCAGGTGAGAGTTGACAACCCTTGACATCAAAGCTACATTCAACTAAGTGTGGCATCAAGGAGTCAGAGCAAAACTGGAATCAATAGGTATTCGGGGGAAAATTCTCTGCTGGTTGGAGTC